CCTACCACGCCCCCCCTCCCCTGACGGCACTGACCAACCCACGGAATCGTCCTTTCCCAGGAACGGTCCCTGTACCCAGGCCCCCCCCCCCACCGGCTCAAAGAAAACTTTCACTCCCCTTAGAGAAATACCCAACAAATCTGGGTCTCTGAGCCTTAGAGTGGAGAGGTTTTTGATCCCTCCATAAACTTTCCCAAATTAAAAAGCTACAGAGCCTAAATAAGGCCCTTAGTGAGTTTACTAAACTTACCACCCCCAGAGCACCCCTAGAATTTTCAGCGTTTTTATTTGTAAAGGCAAAAGAAACAGGTTAATTTATAAATCAAATCAAAAACAAACATGACACAAGTTTTCGGGGTTTGTTCATTTGTCTGCAATTTTTAAAAACAAAAGTATTACCTAGAATCTAGTAACAGATCAAATCCAAGCACAGCAGTCCAGTGGAGAACCACAACACCCCTGGTTTATCTCTGGGAAAAGCCCTGGCCTGTCCCTCAGGGTAAGAGCGAGCCCCGCGGTGCCCCGCCCGCAGTCCGGGCGTGGTCGGTCGGGAAGGGCGTTCACCAGACGGCCCTGTTGACACTTACTCGAACACCAAAAACAACGTGAGGTAAGCCAGGAACTCACTTTGGGCACAAGATTTAGGGGTGCCAAAAAACCCCAGGAACCAAGATACTATTTAATGCAGTATTTTTTGAAAAGGATACTTTTTTTTAATAATTCCATAATAAAGAAAACATCGAAAATTTCCATTCAGGATTCAACCCCATACAATTCGGAGTTACTTCCCTCATCCAGTCTTTGAGTTTCTTTGTTCACCAGGGCTTCGCGCCTTTTTACATATTCCATGAGCATTTATCTTGACTCCGGAGTGCTCTGCACCCCCTCGACTTCCGTACCTGAGGGGAGCGCCTGTCTCCCGGGAGCCCCAGCCCTGCCAGATACACATCTTCCCCTTTGGAACCTGACCCCGCGGCTTCGTGGCTTCCTCAAAACCAGTCTATTTTCAAACAAAAGCATAATAGTCATAGGAAATGATTAAACCAATGGACTATCATATTTGGGAAGTGAGTGGCTTTCAAGTTCGTCCAGAAAGGAATCTTCCTCAGCCAGTAAACCAAGCCAGCCCATGCAGGAGCAGCTTGGCCGGCTGTCACCAAGGGCGGGGTGGGAGGGCGCCCCAACCCCGCCTGCCCGGGCCACAGCAGGCACATGCCCGAGAAACCCAAATACTCGAAGAGCCCCAGTGACAACACTCCAGACACTAAGTACACTTATTCCCTCTTCATATGCACCTAGGAGTGTGTGCAATTGCATAGTTGATTTTTTTTCCCCAGAAAAACAAAAAGTAAAACCAAAACTTGGCCCAGGAACGGCCCTCTGGTTTACAGCTCTTAGAAAGGCGCTGGCTGGAGCGCAGCCTGTCCAGGCTTGTGCTTTGTGCAAAATGCAAAGGGGCTCCCCACACTGCGTCTGCAGGCCCTCCCACCCCTGGAGAAGAGTTAGGTTGGGGAGAGGGGGGAGCCCAGACAGATCAGCTCACTGGGACTAATCTGTGATCTGTGGTTATAGTTCACTAAAATATATTTCTCTAGCTACCTTATTATGAATTGCCCCAGTCCCTACCCTTGTTTCAACATCATTCCTATTATCAAAAATAGCTCTTCTTACAAAGAATTTTTATTATTTTAATAAACTAACCACAGATTAAGGTCAGCTATGGCTTAACAAAAGAAGCCGGGACGTAAAGTTCATTCTCTAGAAGTAGAGAGGAAGGAGGAAGAGTCACTTAAATAGGAAAAAAAAAATCATTTTTAAAAAATGTTTTTGCTTGCTGGGGTCTTTTCATGTTTCCTTTACTTAAAAAAAAAAAAATAGTCAAAAAATAAGTTGCCTTCTAGAGACACGCAGCAGCAGAGGATGGTGGTATTCCACTTAGGTTTTTGGTTTGGTTTCAAACAGTCTGGCCAAAAGTTTGTCCTCCTGCTACCCCTCCCCCAAGCCACAAATCTCAAGGTGTGGTTATTGCTAAGTCGTTAGGTGGGGAAAGAAGCGCCCCCCGCCCCCCCATCAGTTCACCTGCCCTATCACTCTTCCCCTCCTGGGGGAACCTTCTTAAAAACACAAGCTTCATAACTTAGCAGATTCCGTCCTCAAAAAGGATGAGGAGGGGGGGGGCAGGTGGCGGGGGTGCAGCCAGTGAGCTTGCTCCATCAGGAGGCAGGAGGGCCGCAGAGGAAGTCCATCTGAGGAAAGGGCCCCCCAAGCTCCCCCCCCCCCCCCAGTAAGCCATCCTCACTGGCCTGCTGGCCAGCACCCGGGAGCACACTTCACAGCCCCGTCCTTCCAGATCCTTCGGGAGGGAGAATCCACCCAACCCTGATTTCTAAATTCAGATCAACTGCCAATGTGCCTACACCCCCAACTCTGCCACCATGTGCTTTTTTCCAACCTAAAAACTTTGGTCTGCTTTATTGAGAACCTCCTCTGCCCGTCCGGCCTTCTGCCCACCTCCCGCCGCTAGACCTAGACCCAGACCGTCCCCAGCCGCGGGAGGGGTGGACCCAAAGGCAAAAGAGGCAGAGTCGCCGTCATCCCCGTCACCCCCGCTGGTACCTCCTGGCTTCCATCGAGTCAAGCTCCGCGAGGGACTAGAACAGGCCCAGGCCCGCCCAGCCCTGACCTCTGGAGCCAGCCGGCTGGTGCCACGCTCCCAGTCTGTGGCCAGCTTCCGCAAGCATCACTGCACTTGCCCGCCAACGTCAACGTGGGGGCTGGGTCTTGATGAGCCAATTCGTTGAGCTTAACTTTGTTTCACCCCCTTGCCCTCAAGGCCCCCCTCAGAACCTGTGCACCAGCAGCTCCCCGCGCGGCTCCCGTTCCCGCCTCCTCAGTTCCTCCCTGTAACAGCAGGAGCAGAAGTTGTTTGTCTCAGGGTGTCCATAGAAACTGCAGTTCGGCTGTTTGCATTTGGTCTGGGTTGGGGGAAGGCCCCGGGGACCCCCGGCCCATCCATCTGGCTCAGGGGGCTCTCTGTAGCCATTGCTATAGGAATCAGCCACGTGGAAGGGGGGAGGCAACAAGGCCCCCCTGGGAGCCCCATCCTTGGCGTGACCGCCCGGCTCCAGAGAAGGGCTGTGGTCCTGATGGGGGAAGGCTCGCCCCGGAGGACACTGTCTGTGGAAGGTGGCGTAGGGTGGCAGGCCCCCGCCACATGGACCTCCGGCCAACTGCCTCCGGGGTTCCTGGCAGTGGACCCCACCCCCAGAAGGCCTTGGGATGGTGAAGCCCCCGGGGTAGCCGGCGGCGGAGAACGCCGCGGCCTTGGACTCTGCTGCGGGCGCCAGCTCCTCCCCGCCGTCCGGCTCCGGCTTCTTGGCTGGGGGGGGCCCAGCCCCGGCCCCTCCGGTCAGGATCTTCCTCTCCGCCTCCTTCTGCTTCTGCTCCGCCAGGAATCTCTCCTCCGCGTCGGACAGGTAGCGCTGGATCATGTCCTCCTGGTACTGCTGGCGGTGCCCCATCTTCAGGGCGCCCGCGAAGAGGAAGCGGCCCCCGCCCTGCATGGCGACCCGCATGGTGCTCAGGCTCCGCATCACCTCCTGGCTGTACTCGCCGCCCGCGTCGCCCCCGGACTCGGCCGCGGGCTTCTCGGACCCCGGCCCGTCGCCGGCTGCCTCCTCCTTGCCGCCCTTCCAGCCCTTCAGGGCGCTTTTCTTCTTCTTCTCCAGGGTCTCGGGGCCGGCGCCCGCGGGCTTGGCGCCCTTGCCGTGCATCAGGCCGCCCATGTTCCTCCTGAGCTTGCTGCCCAGGGTCTTCCCGAAGCTGCCCAGCTTGTTAGCCACGGAGTCTGCTCTCTTCTTGTCCTTCTCCCGCTCTCGCTTCGACTTCTCTTTCCGCCTGCTGCTCTCATTGCTGGCGGAGCTGCTGCCAACGGACTCCTTGTCCGACTCCCCGGACTCCGGGGTGGACCGAGGCTCGTCCCCCGCCGAAGCTGTGGGGGACTCCGGCTGGGCCAGCGGGGCCTGGCAGAGAGAGAGCAGGGTTGCCATGACGCCTCTCGCGCAGGCTGAGGCACCGGGGTCCCTAGATACCCGCCTGGCTCAGGGCTCCGGGCAGCTGCTGCCAAGGAGTCAGCGTGCGGCAGAGGGGCCGTAGCCCCCACTAGCGCGCCTGGGGGTGCCCGTCGGGGGAGGCAGCTGCCGCGGGAGAAGGGCCCTCCGCAGGGCAGGGCGTGGGCAGCTCAGGGCTCTCCTCGGGCCAGGGAGGCGGTCTCATCTCAGCGAGTACCTGACGCCCTTCCGGGGCAGAGGTGTCAGAGTGGGGCCTGGCTGCTCCTGCGAGCCTCCGGCAGAGGAGAACGAGCCCACAGACGCCGTGATTACAAACGTCTCTGCCACAGTCGGCCAAAGTTAATCTCAATCTCACAACCGCAAGCAGCCACGCCTGCCCACTCAGCCCTGGGGCCTGCCAGCTGCCCCGCTCCGCTCCTGCGCCACGCGGGCTGACAGAGTCCGCAGAGCTCCCGGCTACTCTCCCTCGGCGCCCAGGAGGGCATCTCGCCTCCACCCAGTCCAGACAGCCTCCCTGAAGGAGGCGGCCTCCGCGCCGGCAGCAGAGCTGGCGGGAGAGGCGAAGTGCGAGAGGGGCGCTGGCAGGCAGAGGGCAGGAAACTGCTGGAGCTCTCAGATCTCCAGTCCCTCGCACCCTGAGTCATGCGCTCCCCGCCAGAGCCCCGGGAGAGGCTGGACAGGGCGCGGGGGTGCTCACCTGCGCGTCGGCGGACACGGGGATCCACTTGACGTCCATATAGCCGTGCAGCAGGCGCAGTTTGACCTCCATGGACAGGACGACACTGTGGGGGGGGGAGCGGAGACTGACAAAGGCAGTCCCAGTCTGGTGACCCAGGACCAGTGACGCCCAGGCCAGTCACTTCCCAACGTGCATCCTGCACGGTGACTGCACGGATGCAAAGCGTCTTTGAAAAGGGCCCCCTGGTGTCTGGAAAGCAGGACCTGCACAGGGCCATCGCCGTCACCACACGCGGCATTTACCAGGGCTCCGGTCATCACGTCATAAAATCACCGATTCTGAATCTGAGACCCAAACCCTCCCCGCCTCATAGCCCAAGGGAGACCCAGGTGAGAAGCAGGGAGGGCCTGCCTTCCCGCGCGGGGGAGGGCATCCTTCGGTATCCCAGTCCTAGGAATGCACGGACCACGGGGGTGCGGGCTGAGCGGCCAGCACACTCCTCCTGGGGTGGGGGGCGCTCTGGCCCCAGGACAGCAGCTGGGAGGCGACTGTCCTGCCGCTGAGCCGAGCAGCTCCCTGGAAGCAGCAGCCAGACTCTGGCAGCCCGCCTCACCTGGCCAGCCGCACGCTGTCGTTGTCGTCTCGGCCCCACTCCCAGCCCTTTCCAGGGTCCACGGCGAAGTGCAAGGGCAGCAGCTTGTGCTCCGAGTCCATGAGCGGGATCACGGCTGGGGAGGAGAACACGCATCAGGCACCTCCCTGGGGAGGAGGCGCAGACATAGCCCAGCTCCCGGGGCCAGCTGGCCCTGCGGCTCCCGCGGCAGCCGCCCTGCGCTCCGCACCTCCCAGGGACAGCCCAGGCGGGCCCTGACGCCCCGCACAGCAGCACTGACCGAGCCCAGCGGCCGGCCAGCCAGCGAACACTCAAGAAGTTCCTGCCAGCTCACTGGACTCGGGGTCCAGTCACTGCTGACAAACACAGGAGAGCTATCAGGAAGGCTCCATGACCTTAGCACATGAGCCCGAATGCTGGGGCGGGGTGGGGGGGCCGAGAGGGGCAGGGGGCGGGGCAGGGGGGCAGGGAACCAGGCTCCCTCCGCTGCTCTGGCCCCGCCTCTGCTGCGAGCCAGGCAGTGCCACGGGTGCCTGGAGCGAGCGAGGCCCTCGGCTCTTCCCTCCTGTACCTCATTCCAATTTTGCCAAGTGAAAAGGCAGCAGACCAAGACAGCAGGGGCAGGCGCGGCGTCCAGTACCTTGCTCCTTGGCGTTCTCCTTCTGCTCCATGGACACGAGGGCGGAGAAATGGGCCTGGTCGTAGGCAAGCACCAGCGGCGAGTGGAGACACTGGCTGACCGGCACTTCCAAGGGCAGGTAGATGCCCCCGAAGGGGATGGGGGCGAACGCTGCGGGAGCGGGGGGCACTAAGGCGAGCCCCCCCCAGGCCCTCGCCCACCCCGCCAGCCGAGGCCCCCTCACTCCAACTCCTGCCGGGGACTCCTGGCCCAGAAGCCTCCTGCGCTCCCCCCGCTGTCCTCGGCGGGGTTCTGCGCGTTCTGGAAGTGCCGCCCACGCCGGCTCACCTTCCCCGCCAGAGTCCCGCAGCATGGTGTCTGCCACCACCACGATGGGCCTCCTGAGCACGTGCGCAAGGACGAAGACGTGGAACTCCTCCAGGCTCTCGTACACGGGCTCCTCCGCGCTCTCCGCCCTGGCGTGCGGGAAGGGGGCAGGGAAGCGGCGGGAGGAAACCACGAGGGCCCTGAGACAGCCCCTCGGAGGGGAGGGCCCGCTGCCCTGGCCTGGGGAGCCTGCCGCCACCAGCGACTCCCGTGCGCGCCTGCTCCCAGGCACACGTGGGGGCATCAGGGCTGGGAGGGCGCAAGGGCCCGACCCAGGCATCGCGCTCAGGCGCCCCCACAGTGCTCTCCATCCCGCCGCCCAATGCGCAGCCTGGCCCGCTGCTTTACATGCCACAGCCGCCCACACTCCGCCCTCAAAAGTCCCACCAAAAAGTGAGGAACAAAAACCCCTCCGCCCTGTGCTCGCCCACTCGCAGACGGCCTGGTCACCCGACACACTTACTGCTCTTCGAGGCTCCGCTGGCCGCCTGGCCTGCCCCTCCCTCGCAGGGACCGCACGGCCCCTCCCCTAGGGCTGCCCAGTGTCTGGTCTCCCGCCCGCCGCCCGCCCTCGAGTCCAGCCTGTGGGGCACCCCCCAGAACACACCCGTGCGTGGGCTTGCCCTCAAACCCACTCCATGAGGGACTTGCCTACATTGGAGATTCTGCGTTTTAAACAATTTTCCTGGATCGTTCTAGTGCACAATGAAGTTTGGATAGTCTATCCAAACTTTCAAAATTTTAAATATATTCAAAACTCAAGTTCTTACATATTTATCATCCAGCTTCAACAATTAAAAACACAGGGGCGGGCCGGGGCGCTCCCTGGTGGCGCAGCAGATTAAAGCGCTGCACTATGGAGCTACCTCAGACGCTGCAGACCCTCCTGCCTGGCCCGATGCTCCCCTCTGCGTGTTTCAGTCCATTGGCCTGTTCTGCTTCCCACTGTTTCTGGTGAATTCTCTCAACCCCTCGGCCCACACCTCTGGCCTGTACCCCAGTTGTGTATGCATAAATACATCTAACACACACACAGGGGCCTCCCCAGTAGCCTAGGGGAACCCCTAGTCTCAGCACTATCACGCAGACGGCGTGGGTTCAATCTCCTGGCTCCCTGCTGCTCCCCTCAGCAGTGTGTTTCAAGAGATCTGCCTGTTCTGCTCCCCACTCTGTCTCTGCTGAATCCTTACCCCCCCAACCCTGCACCTCTGCCTACACCCCAATTCTTGTATGTACAAATAAATCTTTTTTTAAAATACCAGAACGTGTGGTCAGCCTCGTCCCACACGCGATCCCCATCTGCTTTCTGATCAGCCCCATTGCTACCCTGCTGCCCACTTCGAAGCGACGCCCAGCTATGCCATTCATGCATAAATACTTCCAGTTCTACCTCTAAAAGTAAAGGCCCCTGTTTGAAAACCACACCACTATCTCACATGAAAATAATCAAGCATGTGAAATTGTTCACGGCGCCCTGCCTTATAAATGCCCGTGAACTGCAACGGGTTGATAGTCTCAAGTGTCTCAAGTCTTTATTTTCCTCGTGATTTATTTAAGGAAACAGGTCACTTGGTCTGTAGTTCCCTAAAGTCTGCGAAGGAGACAACTTGAATTCCGCAGTGTGAACGAGAAGCCAGCCCGGCACACAGGCGGGGATCACCGCGGCCCTGCGACCGGCACCACACACTCCTCATCCAGCACTATTCGGCTGCCTGCACTTCCCAGAACATTCCTTGCCTTTGAGCAGGTCCTCCCCTTCCTCCTTTCACCCCCTCAGCAGAGCCCTGCAGACACTGCTGAAGGGCAGATTCCTTCCTGCCCCCGCTCAGCCAGACTTACCCGCCGCAGTTGGCTCCATTGGTGCCTAGATGCATTCGGGGCTCGCTTGAGGCAAGCTTGATCAGCTCATCCCACTCCTTCTGCCACTCATCCTCCGTGTACACCAGTCCTGACTGAAAGACAGGCGGGCGGTCAGGGGCTGGGTTCGGGCAGCGGCCGGGCTGCTCACTCGGGCCGAGCTGCCCCCCCCCCCCCCCCGGCACGTGCCAGTGTGTTACTCAGCCAAATCCCTTGCCCGTCTTGGCCAAGAGCAAGGCCAGTCTGCGATGGCTCCCGGACTTGCCCGTCTGGCCCTTTCTCCGCCGGCTGTGCCTGCCCCCTACGGTTCAGGTCATCGGACTCAGAGAGGACAAGGACACCCCCAGCTCCTCACGCCAGCAGCCTGCAGGCCTGTCACGTGGCCCCCAGTCACTTCTTTAAACTTCCTTGTCCTCCAGCTTTTCCCTCACTAGTCCTGACCCTCCCTGAACTCTGTCAACACACTGGTGTTATGTCAGTGATTTTAGCCCTGGCTCCTCCTGCGTGACCTCTCCTACCTCCTAATCTCACCTACTACCGCCAACGTGCTCAGGGCTCTAACATCCCCCTCTGCATTTCTGTATTCACACCCAGCCGCCTCGCAACATTCCTGCCACCTCTCCACGACCAACTCAAACTCTCTACAGCCACAGTCACACTGCTCCCCAGGCCCACTCTTCCCCCGGGGGAGAGCACCAGCTATCACCCAAAGGCCCAAGCCAGAATCCAGGGTTCTCCAGATGCCCTCTAGAGAACAGGGGACCCCTTCCCGACCCCTCCACCCGGATCCCTTTAGCCAGTGACCTTTAAGCAGTGGGTTACTACTTTGGCTTATACATTCTCCTGACCCACGTCTGGGCTTTTGTCGAAGTTGCTCCTGCCTGAACAGCCTACTTCTGTCACCCCGCGGGCGCTTCTCAACTCCGGGAAGGCGCTCAAGCAGCGCTGCCCTGCGGAGCCTGCCCAGGGCCGCCCGCGGCTGCAGCGCCCCGCGGCCTCTCCCCATGCTGCGCCGGGCCAGCGTGAGAGCCGCGGCCCTGACCCCCAAATGCATACCCGCACGCCGTCTCCTCCTCCAGTACAAGACCGTTTACCGCAAGACCTTTGGTGCCTACCCTGTGATCGGCAATCAAGAGGTCCGTGCTGGCGGAAGTAGCTTTTAACGGAACAGCCTGAGGGTGCGCGGCTTAGGGCCGTGCGCGCTCCGCTGGGCACACCGCCCGGGCACGGGGGCATGACGTGGGCTTATGCCGCTTACCCAGCCGACGGCAGTCACAACGGCGGCGTGGGCCCGCGGCCAGTTCAACAGGCGCTAAGAGCTGCTGTGAGGACATTTTACTTTAGTGACAAAAGGCACCAACGCCAGCTTCAGTGAGCCGGCCACCACGAACGTTCTCGTCAGATGAAAAGGGCGCAGGGCTCCGCGGGGCTCCAGCCCGCAACCCGCCCCCCAGCCGCAGCGACTCCCCGCCAGGGGGCGCAGCCGGCGGCCGAGAAAGCGCTTCCAGGCGCCTCCAAACCGAGGAACAAAGGCAAGGCAGGGTTTGCCCCCCCAAGTGCCTCGCGTCAGCCCTCTCCCCTGCCCACTCCCGCGCTGGGCTCGCGCGTCCGGAACGCCCTCAGCTCCGGACAAGGCTCGGGTTGGGGCCTCCAGGCGCTGAGCGCTGCTCTTGGGGAGGGGGGCGCCCCGCAGCGAGGAAGGGGCCAGCGGGAGCAGCACCCGGTCCGGCCCTCCTGGCCAGGCGCCACATCTGGGCCTCACACACCGACCCTCAGCCTGCGGTGGCTTCGGGTACGCGCCCCCGGGCTCTGGGGTGGCCCCACCTGCCGTGCCCGCTCAGATCAGGCTGGGGCAAGCTCCAGGCGCTGGCTCGGCCCACCCGAGGGTAGCGGTGCCCGAGGGTAGCGGTGATGGGTCTCGCGGGCACTGACGCTCCCCCTTGGAGGCAACGGCCAGTCAACAGCAGGGTTCTGACAATATCACGCCCCTTTTAACAATCAGGTTCTTTGTTTTTGAGAAAGAAACATAGCACTTCCTATGTATACCTATATACTTGTATCGATCTATAGGAATCTTATAAAATACGTGACACCTCTTTCTGTATTTTAAATCTCTAGCACAATGACCCTCACGAGGAAAACAAACATGCTCGTTCTAGATTATGGCCAGTTGTGAGTGAGCAGTAAGTGTAGAAAAGAGAGAAGATGAAAGAAATGCAACTTTCTGAAGAGCGACGGTCATACTCAGTGCCAGAAAAGATACGGCAAAGGCAGGCCTAGGAGGAGCCTGAGGTGAGGGGCAGCTGGAGCCAGGGGAGCAGGCAGGGCCTTTACTTTTCCGTAAAGGTATAATGCCATTTTTTAATTTTAAAAAAATATTTATTTATGTCTGTGCTGTCATTACTAAAGGGAAGGGTCAGCAGATCTTTCCTGGGAGGGCCAGAGCCTAAGCCTGCCCACCTTGCGGGCCACACACAGTCGCAGTGAGTGGGTGGCTCCAGTGCCAAAAAAACACCTTTTTACAAAAGGGTTGGTGGATCTGGCCCATGGCCAGAGTTTGCCCAGCCCAGCATGGGAATGGAAAAAGCGAACAGTCCATTGTTGACTGTGTTACACAATTGCCGTCTTAACAGTTGATAAACCTCTGAGAAGTACAGCTCAAAGTCAATTTAACAGGCTGCGTTTAAAATTTTTAACAGAGTATATGAAAAGCAAAAGGTATATATGTTCAAATGTACCATCTATTTTTTAATGTATACAAAGGGTTCCCCAGAGACAGAGTGGAGAGCAGGACAGGCAGATCTACTGAAATCCACTGCTGAGGGGAGCAGCGGGGAGACAGGACAGGTCTGCAGCGCCCTATGGGTCACTCCCTGGCCGGGGATCGAGCTCGTGATGCAGTGGCTGGTGACAGCTTCGTAGAGCCGAGACTGAACCCCTGCACCACCTGGGAGGCCCTTATATACCACCTATGTTTAAGCACTTACATTTCTAGAAGGGATGAAACATAAGTCCAGCCCTATTATAAGTAGAAAGCCAAAATAATATAAAAGCCCTAGGAACTTGTGAAATCTCATCTGGTAAGATACTGCCCAAGGCTCACGGTGACCACGTAAAAGAGCACGATGCCAGGTGCCTCTTCTGCAGTCTGGCTTCCCACACCAGCTCTCACCTACACCAGAAAGCACTGGCCCCGTTACTTGCATTTCCCGCAATTTCCAAGATGACAAGCAAACACCACTGCCCTAAGCAGTGGAGGCATCTCCCTGCTGACTCTGGGGAACAGCCCCCGCCCCCCAGCTCCCTCACCTCTTTATTCTGCTGGGTTTGCTGCCACCTCCAGCGCCGCTTCAACGCTTCCTTCTCGGCCCCCTTCTCCATCAGCGCGTACAGGGCCTTCCGCAGCACCAGGTCCCGGTCGTGGAAGCCCCACATGCCTGTGGCAAGGAAACACGGCGGTGGGACACCCCGTGACGCGTCCTCCCTTACTAAGGAGCCCAGCTGGAGGCCAGGCTCAGAGAAGCACCTCTGTGACGGAGGGAAGGGGGTCTGACCAGGAAGAAGGCGTTTCTTGGAGGTTCAGAAACCGAGAACGCCCAGTGCGAGTGACGCACCAAGTGCTGGGGGCGGGGCGGGGCGGCGCCTCTTCCATTGCCTGTGCAGGGCAGACTGATGGGCCACTGGAAAGCCCGGGGCGCGTTCCTCAAAACACTGAAAATGGAGCTACCAGATGACCCAGCAACTCCACTCCTAGGGACCTACCCAAGGGACCCAAAGCACTAACTCAACAGGAAACCTGCACTCCTATGTTTACTGCAGCACTATTTACAACAGCCAAGATACGGAAACAGCTCGAATGCTCAAAATAGAGGAATGGATCCAAAAAAAAGTGTAATGCATTTATACAATGGGATACTACTCAGTCACCAAAACAGACATCTCAGGCCATCTGCGGCAACGTGGATGGAACCGGTAAGAATGATGCTCGCTGACATTAGAAGGAAACAAATACCGATGGTCTCACTTATATGTGGAATACAGGGGACCAAACGAAAGGTCAACACTAGCCAGCTGACCAGAGACCTGAGGCGTCCAGCAGTGGAGGCGCAGGAGGGGGAAACGGTGACGGCCCACGGGTGACATGGTGGCAGAGAACTATGGGACTACAGTGGAGAAAGGAACTTTTGAGAACTGGAGAGTGGGGAATATACCACATCCTACGAGCTCCTGACAGGAAGCCCGTACTCCTGATGAAAGTCTAACAAACTAAAAACAGAGGAGCAGCAGAGGGGACGAGGATCAAGCTGGAGGACGGCTAGAAGACAGATTTTTTTTTTAATTTATTTGTGTATTTATGCATATAAGAACTGGGCTACAGGCCAGAGGTGCAGGGGGTGAGAGGACTCACCAGAGACAAAGTGGTGGGCGGAACAGGCCGACTGACTAGTACACTGCTGAGGGGAGCAGCGGGGAGACAAGAGAGGTCTGCTGCGCCCTGGAGGTCCCTCCCTGGCCGGGGACCGAACTCGTGCTGGCTGTGGACAGCTTCATAGTGCTACAACTTAACCCCCTGTACCACCAAGGAGGCCCCAGATACTATGTTTTTTTTTTAGATTTATTTATTTATTCATACAGAACTGGGGTACAGGCCAGAGGCTCAGGGTGGTGAGAGGCTTCACCAGAGACAGAGTGGGGAGCAGAACAGGCAGATCGACAAAGTCCACTGCTGAGGGGAGCAGCGGGCGGGTCAGGAGAGGTCTGCCACGCCATGTGGTCACCTCCGGGGCAGGCGGGGATCGAACTCATGCAAAAGCGGCTTTCGCTTCTCAGTACTGTGCTCTAACCCGCTGCGCCACCAGGGAGGGCCAGCCCCAGATACTATTTTTAAAGCTAGGGCAAAAAATGTATTATGAAAGGCTTTATAATTTAAAGAAAACAAATCTCACGAAGGACCAATGAAAACATCTTTTTCTACACCTAAAGAATACATATTAGTAACAGATGTACACGCACAGAGAGAATTCTGCTGGCTTACTACTGCCCTTAACTTAGAGGGGACCGGCTCTCAGAGCGAGGGCCACGCTGAAACCTGTGCTGCCCATGGAATCTCTGAAGGACACTGAAAACCAAAGCAGGCTCGCGTCCGTCCCCCCACAGGGTTTGCACGCGCACCCCACATACACACACACGTGTCTGCCCCTCATTCTGCCTAAGCCCAAGGTGGTTTAGATTCAGTGCTGAGCTGCTTCCTTTCCGTCCTCTCAGGACTTACCAAGAGAGGCTGCGTGCAAGAGGCAGTTTCCATCCCCTGTGGTTGCCAGAGGAAGCAGCCTCTGGCATGTGGGGTCCACGCTCACCCACCAGTTCAAACGTCCTAGAAAAACGGGAGGAAAAGGAGAAGAGCAGATCACCCACAGTCCTTCCCACCTTCCTGTTTCGAAAGCGCACGCCACATTTGCCGCCTCCTCCAGGAAGCCTGCCCAGAGCAAGCTGTCCCGCTGCTCTACTCTTTCCGTTTTCTTCACTTATTTCTAGTTGATCAGAATTGGGTGAGCTCAACTAGTTACGTCAACAGTTCTCACGTAAGGGCTTAAGATGCTGTCCCAAGTAGCTACCTGGCATTGTTTGGAAATATGTTCGGTTGTCACAATCGGGGGTAGATGCCATGGGCACCGGTCAAGGCCGCGGAGGCTTCAGCAGCCTCCTGCAGCCCAACAGGCGCAGGGCACAGCCACGAGTGGCCCGGCCCGTCAGCAGCGCGAAGGCGGCGCTGCCCTGGGCGCAGCCAGGGGAGGCCACAGGCCGAGCCTATGTCGGCTGCTTTTCATCTAACTCTGGTCAGGAGACAGTAAATAATGTAGCTACAGAGCTCAGCAGAAAGCCATTTTCAGGAAAACAAACAAAAAACCCCAAAGCATCTGTTCATGTCAATCAAACATCACCCGAATCTACAGCCGGCACCACGTCACCACGTGCGTGCTGTGAGTTTAAAGACACGAACAGTGACACGCTGCGCATAAAGCGCCAAGGAGGAGTGTCGTGCGCGTTCACCCCAGAGCTGCCCATCTGCTAGTTCACACGAGCTAAGTATTTTGTGAGTGACACTAGGAGTTTTCTTGGACCCCTAAAAGAGCCTACAGAGACAAACGGGCCCGAAACCGCACCGCCAGGCAACCTGCCGAGGTAAAGCCCGCCAGCTCCGCCAGGAGGCGAAGCGCGGGGTACCGACCTGCCTGCTCCAGGGCCGCCAGCATGGACTGCTCAATGAGGTCTCGCTCTATGAAGCTGCGGAAGTCTTCGCTGTACACAGTGAGGTCTGGAAGCTGGAAGGCACAGATGGGCATTTCCAGGGGGTGCTCCCTGCTCCCCCCGCCCCCACTGTGGGAGGAGACATGGGGGCGGGCCGGGGACACAACGCTGGCGCTGGCGAGGGAGATGCCCCTGGACAGGCGTTTTTCTGCAATGAGAAACGGAATGGCCTCAGAACACAGCCCCGCTCTCACGGACAGTCACCTCTACCCCACCTCAGCCGGCTCCCGTTAGCACAGCGGACTCTCCCTGGGTCCTGGATTTCAGTCCCCTCTTTCTCATGTCAGATACAAAAGAAGAGGGCCCTCCCTGGTGGCGTAACGGGTTAGGACGCAGCACTGCAAGCTGGCCGCAGCCGCTTCAGTGCAAGTTCATTCCCCACCTGGAGGAGACCCCCAGGGCGCGGCAGCCCTCTCCTGACCCGCCCGCTGTCCCCTCCGCAGTGAGCTTTGTCCATCTGGCCAATCTGCTCCCCACTCTGTCTCTGGGGAATCCTCTCACCGCCCCTGAGCCTCTGGCCTGTACCCCAGCTCTGTATGCACAAATAAATAAATCTTTTTAAAAAACTAAAACACAAGAAGAAGCAGGCAGTAACATTATGGGCACGTTACACCAAACATGTCTTCCCCTCACTACCCTTCTCGGCAGTGGCCGCTCTCTCTCCCTTGAGCTGTCTTCCCGCCTCATGCCACAGCACAAAGGCCTGTTTGCTGGGCAGTCTGGTTGTCACTGTGGGCGAGGAAGAGGAAATGAGGGAAGCGAGGTTTCATTTGGCCACATTTAGTCAAATAATCTCTGTGAATTTTAGGGTCTTAGGAGAATGTGGAGAAGGATTTCCATTATAGAAAACAAAATGTCCTTACACACTATGGAGGTCTAGTTAACTCAACATTTTCCAGAGGAAGACAGCCAAGCAGACAGTGCCTTCAATGACTTATCTGCAATTGGCAGCACTACAGTCCCCGGCAGATTATTCTACAGTGCTCACTACTAGCCTGGCGTCGCCTTACCATTCGCATGCAGGCCTTGAATCAAAGTATGGAAACGGACGAAACGTCAAGCGCTCATCAAAACTGGACCAATCTAACCCAGACACTTCTCCAAAAAGACACCTGCTGGCCCCACAGGCACGTGAAACACGTGCAGCATGGCTTACGATGAGGGCACGCAACCCGAGCCGCAGGGCGCTCCCGCCCCGGGAGTGGCCCACGGAAGGGCTGGAGACGGCTCCCGGGGGGAGACGGACAAGCGGGTGGGGGGCTTTTTGGCACAGCCGTTACGGAAGGCGGCCTGAGCTACCTTAAAGGTCTGAAAATGGAAACACTGTGTGCTCCAGTGACACGGCCGGAGCACATGGAGACTTCACAAGGACACCCCCCCCCCGCCCCCACAGCACCGGCCAACCTGAGCTCAGTGCCAAGGGCCAGACAGAGACGGGGGCACGCTCAAGGGGTACCGCTCAGCTCTCAAAACAGATGAAACAGTGCCTGTGGGGTACAACGAATGGACCTTGAGGCGGTCACGCCAAGGAAAGTAGCTGAGAAAGCGACAGATACATACCAGGTGGCTTCACTCATTTGCGGGAAATGAACAGCTAGAGGGCACACACGGGCAAAACACACACAGTTAATGTAACTGTGAGAAATACACTCATTACCAGAGGGAAGGGGGGTGCTGGGGGGAGGGAAGTACACATTTGGAGCTGTGAAGATGTAACCCCAAGGTTATACAGCCACGTGAACGGCTGACAGATTAAAAACAAGAGTGATGATGAACATTTTTCCATGTTAAAGAAGAAGAATGTGTAATATGAAAATTAAGCATTGCTGATGAAAGATACCAGAGAGTTAACTAAATAATGAAAAAGACAATGCTTGCTTGTGGACTGGAAGCCTCAGCATGTTATGCTGATTTTTTTCTAAAATCTTATGTATTTACTTTATCTAAAAACATTGTTTATGGTGTGTAACGGGAAGCAAATTTATTATCATCTATATCCAAATGTCCAAGCAAGAGCTAGTGAGCAATTCAACATTTCCCCACCAGATAAAAAGGTTAAGAGAGATTATCAAGAGCTGAAAGTTGTGTTGGGTAGCAGCACTCAAGCCAAGCGATGATGCACAGAATAAATCAAGAGCTGCCTAGCACTAATCTAGAGTGATTTTTAAAGGATTTATTTACTTACGCATACAAAACTGGGGTACAGGCCAGAGGTGCGGGGCGTTAGAAGCTTCACCAGAGACAGAGTGGGAGAGCAGAACAGGCAGATGGACGAAGCCCACTGCCGAGGGGGCAGCAGGAGACAGGAGAGGTCTGCCTGCCCTGGGAGTCGCTCCCTGGCTGGGGATCGAAGTGCTGCGCTCTAACCCATTGTGCCAGGAGGGCGATATTTTTGAACTAACATTTTTTAGGAATTAAAGAAGTACTATGTCTCCATTGCAAAAAGTGAAAGCATTAACAAAGCATTATAAAAATGTCATTAAAGAATTCACCCCATTCAAATTTTCTGATACCATCCCCAGAGGCAGCATAGATTCTTCCAGAAATTTTTAATCATAGAAGCACTTTCAAAAACAGACAAGCACACACTGCATTGCAACTTACCTTTTTCGAAGACTAGAAATCTCCCCAAACAGCACCTAAAGTTCTAGCTGACTCTCATGGCTGCAGAGCGGCCCAAGGGGGACAGACGACGCGAGCGACCGGGCTGCGGGGCGCGGGCACGGGCCGGCCATGGGAAACGGCCTTCACGGGCCTTCTGAGTCTGTGCCTGCACAGCCTCTCCCGCCTCCACGGAAGGGGTATCCACAGCTGTGCTGCAGTCGCTGAAGGGGGCACCCCCGCCGCCTGGCCACCCCGCAGCCCACGCCGCGCTCTACAGAAACGCGCCTCGGTCACCCCGGTACCTTGAACGACGTCATCCTGCCGTTGGGGAGTGGGCCGGAGAGGGCGAGCAGATTCTCGGTCACAAAACCCCTTTTCCGGGGTCCCGGGGACGCCACTGCCCTCGCCAAAGGGCGGGGGCAGGTTCCCGGCGTGGACCTGGCGCAGCTGCTCGAAGTCGCTGAGGGCGGCGCTCACGTCCCAGTTCTTCCCTGCGGAGACAGCGCGGGGTCAGTCAGGCCTGGCCACACACCTGCCCCTGCCTTACCTAGCTCACCTTCCTGCACAACAGTCGGCCTCCAGAGCCCAGGCTCTCCTCTCCGAGTTACTATCTGCTTCCTGAGTCAGTTCCACCAGCACAGAAACCCGCCCTCCCCCGCCCCAGCCGTGGGCCGGGCGGCACCGCCGGCCTCACTCTGCAGGCAGCAGCAGGATGAGTCCCAAGCCGGCCTAAGGCGGCGCAGGCCAGGCCGGCCCTGACCCACGGATGGGTACCACATCGCAGGTGGCATGTCCCGAGAAGGCAGTCGCCACATCACCACCGCGGCGGGGAAACTCTAAGCGGAAGGGCCAGACTGGGGACCCCAGATGAAGCGCTGGTCTAGCGGCAACGGCTTCCTTCAGCTAAGCCTCGGGACTGCCCGCTTCCCGGGACCACCCCTCTCGTCTGTCATTTCTTGTCCAGGTTTACTGTTGCTGCAGTTCAGGGCCTCATAATCTTTTCCTGGTCTTTAGTTTTTGGGGAGGCCAATCTAATGAGTCTCCCCACTCAGTTAAATCTCTCCCCTTGCTGATTTGCTGTTTTCAAAATAGCCAGAGTTAACTTTTAAAGGAAAAAGCCAGAGACGAGTGTACCAAAGACGGGGGAAGAGGAGGCTCAGGCCCCCCGGCCCTCCTGAGCGAACCCCACGTCCACCCTTCCTGTCCACCTGCTGCTGAGGCAGCCCCAGTCCCAGCGCCCCCGTCCCAGCGCGTCTCACTTGAAGCGGGCCACATTCAGACTGACTTCGCCACCTCCCGGCCACTTTCCAATCCATTCTATACCCTTCAAACAGTTAAGAACTTGAATGCAACGTCGCCACCCTGCTTAAAATCCACCAGCCCCACCGAATGTAGGGTGACATGTCCTGCATCCTGTCTGACAGTTTGCAACCGCCTGCTCGTCCTTCTCGCTATCGTTTCTGACACCCATGCTCACTCTCCCCTTTGGGGGCCGCCTCTCCCACAGGACCCCGGCACCGCTCCCATCGCCCTCAGGGCCCGCTGCAAGGCTTCTCTGCCCCCTTGTCCCAGTCAGGCTTCTCTCCGGTGCTTCCTGACACTCGGCTTCGCTTTCGCAGCACGAGAGCTCGTGCGGGGGACGCAGCACTAGTCGGCAACGTACCTGAGACCGAACTCTGTGATCAGGTACTTGACATCTCTGAGCCTCGGTTAACGCCACAACCCTGGACACAGCCTACACGGCAGAGTGGCTGCGACACAGCTCACACGCAGTGGACACGCGGGGGTGTCCCCACGCATTGCAAGAGGAAGAGGAGGCCTCAGGGCTGAATCTTGAAGAACCGGGAGACGCGAGGAAGGTGAAGGAGGCGAGTGCGCTGCAGGTGTGGGGCACAGGGGCCAGCGAGGTGGGGGCCGAGGGGCCCGAGCCACAGCGATCCACAGCTGCAATTCAGACGCTGATCTTCTCTTGCCAAACTAATGTATTTCTCACGGTAGCCAAACAAATCTCAAATGTGACAGCTGGTGTGGCTGACAATCTACGGTCACCTCTGTATGCTAAGACGCGGTCCCTTCCACAGGCACACGTGTGTGTCATTGTGCATTACGACTTCCAAGACTCCAGAGGCAAGTTCCAGCCCCTGGGGACCTCAACAGAACACTCACACCTGTGTGTTCATCCAGATAGAAGTAAAGAAAAGTAGCAAAATGAAAACACTTAAGCATAAAATTGCGCATACAGATCAGGGAAGAAAAGAAAGGAAACCGTGGAAGGTCCTGAATACAAAAGTCTGAAACTTACACACCACAAGGAAGCGTAGAGATCTGAATTCTGCTCTCGGACTTAGAGATCTAGAATTAAGCTCTCTCTTATAGTACCTGAGCATAAAATGACAACAGAAAAACCTACACCAAAAGCCAATTTGAAAAGGGGACTTTGCATTTTTAAATCGGGGTCACGCACAAACAGACCTAGAAGGAACTCCAACGTCAGGCCCACACGTGAAGCGTCCGGTGACCACCTTAAATGTTCCAAGTCCCGGAGCAGTAAGGGTCACTTTGTCCTTCTCGCTGTCCGCCCGCAGCCCTTACCTTCCAGGAGATCGCGGGCCAGCCCCGGCTCTGCCCCTGTGGAACGGACAAAATCCGAGAGGACAGCATCCATGTCCAGGGTCATGTGCCCATTAAGCACGTTCAGGCAGTTGACGTAGGAAGGGCATAGATCAAAATTCAGGCCTCCACCTAGGAGGAAACGAACACGTAAGGCTTAAGTTACACGGGAACTGGACAACCACAGCCCAACGTCAGCTGGCCCTAACCACAGGGGAACGAAACCCTACTTCATACATTTCAACTGAATAGACCACGAAAAGATAACATTGAGTTTCCTAATTCCTCGTTAGCTTTATTAAGATTTATTTATTTATGCACACAAGAACTGGGGTATACGCTAGAGGTGTGCGGGGACAGTGAGAGCATTCCCTAGGGACAGAGTAGGGAGCAGACAGGTGGATCAACTCAAATACACCGCTGAGAGGGGAGAGGAGGGGTCTGCTGCGCCCCGGGGGGGGGGGTCCCTCCCTGACGGGGTCAGAATCATGCTGCAGTGACTGTGGACAGCTTCTTAGTGCTGCGCTCTAACCCCGCGGCCACCAGGGAGGGCCCTCCTCATTACCTTCAATTTCTTGTCTACTACATTAACCACAAAACTGTACCCCTAGTCCAGGTGACGCGCCACGCTCCCTTTTGAAACATTCCATTTCTGCCATCAGTTTGCCTGGTCCAAAAATGCACCTAGTTCCTGGCACCTGACAGGCCCTCAAATAAAGTAGTTGTTATCTAGCCGCCACCTCTAATATAGAAGTTTCTTGAAAGCAAGGCTCGGTGCGGCCTCCGCGAGGCAGCCACCCTCCCCCAGCCGGCCCACTGGGCAGGAGGCACAGGGCCTGGCAAGGCCACTGCCTGGGCACTGAGCGCTCCGAGGGCCCCAGCAGAGGAAGTGGGAGACAGAGTGGCAAACAGACCTAAACTATTCGGATGCAACAAGCAGGTACGCAGAGCAGAGCAGATAGGCCAAGCGCCCTTTGCTCCTCCACTTGGTGAACCCAGGACACTAACTGCCAAAAAGCTCCCCTGGAAAAGCCCTCTCCTTTCAGACTCGGTGGCAGGCACTGCCCCGGACCTGCCCGTCTCACGCCCCCTCGGGAGCTGCAGGCCCAGCTGTGGAGCGATAACAGAGGGAGGAACAATCGCTGCCCAAGTTGCGCGACCCCAGACAGAACCACAGTTCTCTGCAAACAGGCACTGTGCAGAGGCTCCAGGCCACGCCTGCCCCCCACACCCGCGGACCCTGCCTTTTTCTCTCCGGGCAAACCTGGTGTCTAAGGGTGACGCTCGGGCTTTTCTTCACCCAGTTCCCTACCCTGGAACACGCTAGCTTAGTGGCGTGGCCAGAGCCTGGCTTTCTGCATTCCTTGGAAATACAAAGGCAAATTAACAGCAGTGGGGCGCGAGTCAGAAAGCCAGCAGGCCACAAACATGGTAACAGTGAGTCTCTCCTCGTGGAAGAGACGGCAGGGCAGAAGCTACTCGCCGCGGAACCACCCCAGCAGGGCCGGAGACAGGGGACTGCGGGGAGTTTTGTTCACCTTTGCAGCCCCAACATTCAGCAAAGCACCTGCAGTGCAGCACTCAGTCAATGCCTGCGCTGGGACCGGGACCACATGGGGGGGGGGGTCCCGGAGGGGGGGGACGACAGAGGGCCCACCCCGCTGCGGAGGTGAGAGCAGCCTGTGCATCTGCACCTGCGGGGCGCTGCGAGCTGTCCCCAGCAGAAACAAAAGTGCCAGGGCCTGATGGAGCCACGTGAACTCCACATCCGTCGCAAACCAGTCGGTCTCAGCTTGGCAGATCCATTTTCACATCACCCCTCTCTCTGGAAGGGTGCGCCTGGCCCCACTGCGTCTCCTCAAGTTTTCGAGGCTCTCCAGAGGCAGCCGTACCTTGTCGCGACTTTCAGCAGCCTCGGACCACACAACTTCTAGCTACGCCCAGACTAGGAGCCGGACACGGGCCAAGCCGCCACGGGGCTTCGGGGGTTCGCACCCACCCGCACTTGGCCGCAATGGCGCCCCAGATGCGTTCCTGGATCAGACCTAAGCACTGGGGAACCAAATCCAAATCCAGCTTCTTTAGCTCACTGCAGCCCCACGAGCTACGATTTCCTGGACTACGTACCATCCGCCCTAATTTGCCTCCTTTCCACATCACGAATGTCAGGGAAGCCTACCCACCACAGGCGACGTTTGGCGTAACCGCCACGTTACGAATTAGTTCCTCACATTCAACACTTAATTAAATTCCTTCAGAATTCGTAGGTGAGAGTGGTTTCCCCCTCACAATATTTCCCCTAACAATTCAGACAAGGGCTCCTCTCCAAGCCCATTTTGGTCAGAGATGATAGCACCCAAATAAATGATACACGAGTAACCTAAAATGGAGAGAGCAAGCTGCAAAATGAATTTCATCATTTTCAAAAAGCAAAGCCATGTTACCGGCGCTGTGAACGCAGCGGGGAATAAAGAGCCGCCAGCAGCCACCCGGGTGGGCGTGTGAGGACGCCCCGACCAGACATTCCGAGAGTCAGCGAAAACATCGACACTGGCATCAGCGACCTCACTTGCCAGCACAGAGGGGAAACAAGGGGGATTTACAGGTCCACTTTGACCTACGTGAGGTGGCTGCAAACCTTAGCACAAACCCCCCTGGCAGGGTGTTTCCGCCTGGTGCCTCGAGGGGGGCCGGGACTGCCCAGGCCCTCCGGGCAGGTGGCGCGGACGGCAGCTTTTGTTGTGTCACCACCACCTCCAGCTCCGCAGATTCCACACAGGAACATGGGAGGCTGTGGAGGGGCAGTCTGGGAGGCCTCGCGCCCAAGGGGCAGGGCCCCACCCAGCCCGCCGCCTTCTAGGGGGTCACAATGCTAATGCTCTCAGCTCCCAGTCGGAAGGCGGGGGTGGGGTGGGGGGGTAAGCCCACCATCGCCCCCAGCACCTTCCTGCCCACTCTGGGCAAGTCGCTGGGCACCCCAGGCTCACGCCGCCCTCGAGCGAGAACCTGTAACAGGTCCAGGTGTCACGGACTCCGCCCCCACTCCATGCTGGAACTCCAGATCCCATCAGTACCAAGGAGAAGCCGCAGGGACGTGAGGGCGGAGCTGAGCAGCCAGGCTGGGATAAAACCGGACACGTGGGCTCTGGGGGGACCTGGTGGTTCGCGGCGGATCGTTTTGGCCCCCATCGCTTTCAGCTGCCGGTGGAGTCCAGGTCGGCAGAACTGGCGGGACATCCTAGTTAACCTGTGTTTCTCTCCCTCGTTCCCTGGGTTATTCCTTTACCTTTCTCCTTATAAATAAATCCATTATTGAACCTTTTGAGTGTGTCCATAATACGATTGACTCGTAAGCGCGCGGGTGAAGACCCACAGACGGGCAACCCAATTCACATTGGGGTGCCCTGTAACAAACCCACCCTTTGGCCATAAAGCTCGCTTCCCCCGCAGCTGTCAGGAGGTGCGGTTTTACACTAAATGATCAGTCCCTCCCCCAACTTTTACATAATGGTCCTTGTTCTCTTCTCCAGGAAGTTAAAATCTATACCCAGGACAGGTGGACTCCTTATGAAAATCATCAGAGCATTTTTCTTTTTTTTTTTACTTAAATGTTGTCGATCAACATCACCCATTATCCTTAGCTAGCCAGGGGCCTTTGTTTCACAAAGGCCTCCCTTCTGTAGGTGCCTGCTTTTACCTATGTCCCTGAGAAACCTTCATGCCAGCTCTTTAAGTACAAATTCAACAGTGGAATAAATGAAGTCTTGTCTCTTGTCCAAAATTCACTTCTGCTCCTGCTTCCATCCCCTTCCACGCCCTCTTGGCGTGATAACAGCATCAAGAATAACTACCCATTAAATGTCAATTAAGCACTTTCAAAACCCGTCTCATTCATTCACGACAAACTGCAGCAGGTCTCAGAGAAACAAGGTTTCGGTGATCCAAAAAGATAAACTCAGGCTACTGGCAGCAACACGGATGGAGCCGGGAGGGACGATGCTCAGTGAACTGTGTCAGAGGAAAAGAAAAATGCCAGATGGCTTCACTTATAGGAGACACAGAGGGGAACAAACAAGGGGTCAACGGGGGAAACAAAACTAGCTGGCTAACTACACGCGGGGAGAGTGAGGGGAGATGGAGACTCAACAGGCGGAAGAGCACAGGAGATGCTGGTGACGCTCAAGGTGACTTGGGGGTGGGATTCTGTGGGACCGCGCCTGAGGGAATAAATCAAACGTTGTACAAAAAGGAACAACGATGTAACGTGATCGGGTCTGAATTATTAAAAGTCACCCTGGGGTGAGTAAATGGGGCAAAAGGGTATCGACAACTGTATGAAGAACAGAACTGGACTTGAGTGAACCTAATGTGGCATAAACACATGTTGATACTTAATGGCACATCTGAAGCTGATCTTACCATGCAATGTCACGTCAATAAAAAATTTCACGTGCACAGGATGAAACAGTAAGTAATCAAATAAAAACATAAACCCAATGACTGATCCCTGACTCTACTTTCCAAAAACCCCCGTGTCCTTGTTCTTCTATTTCACCTATCCAATCTGGCGAACCCCACAGTGGGGCTGTTGGGCGAGGTAAGGCCACAAACCCGGAGTCTTCTGTCTTCTGCTTGACTTTGCCACCTCAGCCAATCCTCTCAGCTATTACTGTGCATGCCTACACCATTCTCCTTGAATGTCCTACCCACCATTTATTAAACCCCTCACTCCTGGTAGAAGACATTCCCGCCTACTTCTGAGACAAAACTGCAAAAGAGAAATTTCTTCAGGTTTCCCCCTCTGTCCCTAATGCTATTTATTCTCTTCCCGGCAAAACTCCTTATAAAGGCTACATTCACCATAGCTTCACTCCTCAATCTAAAAGGGGCCGACCTAGAAAAGGAAAGTGCAGCCTTACAAGACCATCCTCTGCTGTTCACCACAGCAAGTCCCGAGTGACCCTTCCCGCCTCTCAGGGCACATCTTGATCATTTCTACTGACTCCGCTACGTGCCTGCACCAAAGGTTGGCTAGGGCACCCTCACTGCTCACCTCAAGCCTCCCACCGCCTCATGCTACATCACCCCTATGAGAAACTCCATTCATGCCTGGCGCCCACATGAGGACAAGC